GTATTAATCTCCTCTGGTTGAAGTTATCGGTAATGTGATTCCTACTTTAATCGTTTCATATTTATTTTTGAGCGTTTTTTGCAATTACTTTTTTGTAGAAGATACCTCTTGAATGAATACTTTGAAGTCACTATGTTAATAGAGATGGCCATTTTAAATTAAAAGTTTTAAAATGATGTTACTTGTCGGTTGTTAAGGATCGAGAGACACAGTGCGGTGGACAGCGGAACAACGACACTGATAGAAATTTGCCCCCTTTTGCTACCCATCTCTTAGCTAAATTCCGTCGTGATGCGGATGCAAGTACTGATAAAGCGGACCGCGGTTAGTTTCTTTTTTTGTGCGAGAATTCATTAAGAATTTGTTTTCACGGAAGTGCTTCAAAAGCTTACTTTTTTTCAATAACGTTCGTCTTGCTGTAATTTCCTTGTATCCAGTCCAGTTTTCTTACCAGTTCTTTTCGAAATTAATCAAGAAATTTAAACAAAATGCCGCTGGTTTATTACACTTTCCCCAGTCCTAACTATCCTCATACGTCTTCTCAAAAATTGATCGTATACTAGATGCCTTGTGTGAGTACTTTTAATTTACGTTAGAAGACAGCGTAAAATTCTTTTCATGAAGTATTAAGATGTTAACATGTTTTGAAATTGAGTGGTGTTGAATGGCAGTTTGTTTTATCATCCGTTAAATGCGTATATTTATTCTTTTTAAGGGTGATTCGATTGCTGGTTGGGGTTTGATCGTTGAAACAATTTTTCTAGTTTTATGGAACTTTGAGTTAGCAATACAAGAAACACTTAATTCTTAAGATTTATAAAGTGTGAAATTTTTTTATGACTACACGCGAATAAAGTTTATACATTTGTTGATCGGCGTATTAGCTTTTTGACAGAATAGTCCTTAAATGAGTTTTGGATTAGCTTTAGCTGTGACTACATTACTACCGTTATAGCAGCATATTTATTCCTTTTCTTCAATATGTACAGGCGAGACAGTTTTACAGGACTCAGTTTTTTAATATATCGCAACATTTTGAATTTTATTCAGCTTTTCTATTTCAAGAGTAATTAGAAATACGTAGCTGAGCTTCAGGTTGGTGGATTAGTTATCAGGAAGTTCATCTACCAGTTATTGTTAGATGTTTTTACAAGTTACATTTCGATAATATGGAATTAAATAAGGTGGCGAGCCATTTGCCACTCGGTCAAATTTTGTTTCGTTCAACTTCACACACACAGATGGAATACTGTTAGTAACATTAGCATTGGGATATTTATTTGTGATATCATGTTCGCAGATTTTCTACGGTGACCTGTAGCATAGATATTACGTACTTTTACTTCTAAAACTTTTTTAAGTTTGTTAGGTAATAATAGAGTTTGGCGACTGGAGGAGTCACACGGATATAATTATTTAGAAAATTAATTTGTTATCTGAGTATTCATTAAAATGTACTGTAAGCTAAATTTTCCTGTGTAACTAGGATAAAAACTTACTTGTAGTTACTATCTTAGGTCTTTCGAATGCGGCACCCAAACCTGTAAAAAATTATCAACGTGAACATCTTGGATTCTCCCGCTGTCACATTAGCTTTACACTTTGCAAAATTTTGCATTGCAGTTTTTTTGTTTTAGGGAATTATAAGCAATAAATTGAAGTTTGTAGCGGGACCTGTTCTCCCATTGCAAAGATCAGTAGTACATGTCCTGCACAGTTTGTCGTAAATATTTGCAATGTCGCATGTAGCCGAGCACCCTTTTGCTAACGCTGAAATTGATAATTTTGATTAGATGAACTTTGCAAAATGTTTTTATTTCACTTCCTATTTGAATGCCTTCAGGGTTGTTGGTTGTTTTTTTTTTTAATCTAAGCTTTTGCAGCTCGATGTTGAGTCTCTTACTGTATATCTCTTATTGAATCAGGTGCTTCTGAGAAAATATCTACCAGATACAGTACTTTTTGGTTGAAATTTTTTATGATGTTGAGAGAAAGTAGTTGTTTTTTAAAATTTCCTACCAGTGCTTTTAGCGTCGTAAGTTTCCGCAACCGTGAAACATTCGTCTCTAGAAGTTGGACAGGTTACTAGTTTCGCATTATTTTTACACTGTGCTTGGTTATCGCATTTATAACATAAAAGGCTGAAGCCTAAAATATGAAAATTAATTTAGCTTATAAACTGAGTACAATTTTTTTCATACTAAGGCCGTAAAAATATGAACTAGCATTATGCATTTGAATAGTAAGTTTGTTTATGCTTCATTTCATTTTAAGTAATTAATTCTTCACACTAAGTAATTTCCGTTTCCAAAGACCTTATTTAACCTCTAAATTTATATATATTTTTTTGTTTTTTAGAATTAATCGTTTCTGTAGATGTAAGGAGTATGGTTAGTGAAAAGTAATATGGCGAATTTTCTTTCACATGTTAAGTTATTCAATTTTTCTGAGAACTCTAGTTTCCCATCCTCACTTGCTGGATCTCTAACTGCGTTTCTTCCCCACTTTTCCAGTTTTTTATCATGTTGTCATGTCACGTGTTTATCTAATGGCAAGGGACAGTACACACCGATATTTTTTTCCCTAGTCTTTCTTTTATTTGGATACTGTTTGCAACATTGAAGGGCTTATGTTCAATTTTTTAGTATCAAGGGACATGATAAAGACTAACAAACGCTGGTTTTGAGTGCTAGTGTAGAAAATGATAGACTTTGAATTTGACTAGTTTTCATTTGAAGTTGCTTTCTGTAGGTATTTACTTTCTTTTTCATTAACTTTTAAAGTTACGTGTTCTTGTAATGATCTGGAAAACTAAAATTTGGGAGAAAAAGTATGAAATTCAGAGGGGAGTTTTAGGGAACTACATAACATCTTCCAAAACTTTTTTTGGGGAGGGGGTTCTGTCTAGTAAAAGCATTTGAAGCTATTGCTTTAGTCTCTTGTTAACGGCAAACAATTCAATAACCGTATTCTAGAGTAAGTTTATTTGACGCCTACGTTTGGAAAAAAAAACAACCGTAAACGAAAAGTTGACGATTTTATCTGATTTTCAAAGTATAAGAGTCAAGGCTGTGTCGCTAAGGTTAAGGTGAAAAGAAAACAACTTACATGGTGTATTGATTAGAAAAGTAACTGTGAGGAGTAGCTGGAAGAGCATTTTGGACGGACCGAATGAATGAAGCAATTGAGGGTTTAGTACCAAACTATCAGAGCTTTAACGATTGTACGCGCCGAATGCACTTTGTTGCGCTTGCCAGGCTTTGTGCTGATAGATGAATGACGCCTAGTCGTTTTTTTTTCTTTGCGTCTCTTGAGAACGTCAAAGAAACTGGCAGCGAGTCTTTAAATACTTTTATAGTACATTTTAAAACAATAACCATGACATTGTTAGTTTACAAATTGCTGTTGACGGACTGTAATAGAAAACATACGATTGCCAAAGCGGTTTCACAAGTAGAATTTTATTCAGATGACATGTATATTCATATTTCTTTAGGCGCATAAACAAATTTGAGATTATAATTACGTACTGTGAAAAAACATGATTTATTGGTACTGTTTATTTAATAAAGGTTTATACACTGCCTGCAGCTGTTGGCAAAATTTGGTCGAGCTTTTTAAATTACTAAAAAGTCGTTTAATTTACAAATAGAAAAAAAACTTTTTTTCATTTTTTTTTCTCTCATTTTGTTCCTCACACCTGGTTTATCAATTAAAACAAAACCACAAAGAAAAAACAAGGAAGTTAGGTAAAAGATTAGTATACAGCGAGTTGTAAGGCCATGTTATCTGAATAACACTGTAGATTTGTTTGCGCATAGAGAGAGGTGGGAAAAAATTGATTTTGGTCACTTTTATATTTCAGAACATTATCCAGGAAGAGGTTTATGAAATTTGATTGCGCAACTTTGCTCAAAAGTTACAAAATTTATGATTCATAGTGAACTTTTGCCGTATTGTTGTTTAGTATTTATAAGTACAATTTATGCTAGAGAGATGTACTTGAGTGGTGTAATGTGGGTAATTGAGGAGCTAGTGTTTTCATGTATTCAAATTGCTGTTTATTGAATATCCAAAGGAAAAAATGGTTCAGAAAGTTTTAAATATGCATTGATGAGTATGAGAAGAGATCGGTGTAAGCATCAGATTAAGATGTTTTAGGTATTTTAAATAAAAAGATTTTGAAAAGAATTGGATGTTATGTTTTGTTGTTTGCAACTAATCAACAGGGTATTTTAAGGTGCATTATCTTAAACTACTTTTTCTGAGGAAGTATTTTTCTTTGAACTTTCATTTTATTCATTATGGTATGTTGGACTCATTTATTTAATTTCATTATTACTAGATAGGTTTGTCTCAGAAAGGTCCAAAAAAATGACATTTGCAGTTTTAACTGAGACGCAGAACCTTATCTTCCGTAAAGCTACTTTTTTTTAGTTTAGGCTGTTCTTAATTTTAGAGACAAATTAAAGTTTTAATTTTTTAATAATTTTTAAAAACTATTGCTTTGATATCAGAATAATTAGTTTGTTCCCTTCACTCAATAATTTCACATAATTATTTTCGGCTAATAGAATGGTTGTACATGTGGTCTTTATACTTGAAAGCGCATATGTTGCTCTACCAGATTTCTATGACGTACAATTCGTTGTTTTGAAATTTTGGTTAAATTTTTTAGAGTCAGACGAGAAATGTTCGAAGCTAACTGCTTTCATGAAAGACAGTAGTAACTCAAAATCCAAGTTTACGGGGAAGAACATGCTCACGAAGAGTTCGAGCCAGGTGGAGTCATTTAAGTTTAAGCTGTTATTTAGTGTGCTGTAAAAATTTCCTGTGCTTTTTTTTGCTTCTTTTTTAATTTACACATTTTACAGTTTTGTATGGAGAGTAACTTTTAAAACTGTTTTGAGAACTATTTTCAGGACTCAAAGTCAAAGAAATCGCGTGTTAAGGAAACCAAAGGGACCGTGGTTCAAGATCAAAGCATAAGTGGTTTACAAAGGGATGTTGGACAAGAAAATCACATCCGTGCTCACTCAAGCGGTCCGGAATTACAGTTCACTTCGACTGCTGGAAATAAAAACTCCGAATGCACTATAATCGACTTGTAGGTTATTGAAACTGTAGTGTAAAGAGGTTTTGTTTTACTTGATTGAAGGACCTGTTTTATTTAATATGAGATACATAAATTTGGCCGTAGCTTATTTTTTTTTT